AGGTGCTGCGGATCCATGGGATTGGTTAAGGGATGAATGGGGTAGAGTTGGGGTGGAGGACAGCACTTAATTGCTACAGAAAACAGCCCCTAAAGCCTCCAAACAGCTGCTGGAACGTTGGGGACAGCAACCTAACACAATGGGGAAAGTGGTTTAAGTGATTAGGGTGGGTTGTGGTGTGTGGACAGCAACTAGACAAAGGTTACGGGCACCTAACAGCCACTAAACAGTGCAGGAATAACTCTGGACAGCAAGACTTTTAAGTGTAGTAAGTGACTTGGGTGAAGCGGTGGGTGGTAAGTGACCAAAATAACACATAGGTAAAGTTGGCATGCATGTTAATAATGAAAATATGATGCAGGAAATTACTGGACAGCAAAGAAAAACAGTGAATAAAATGTTCTAAACGATGTGATGCAAGTAAATGATTAATGGCAAGCTAAAGTAGACTTCCTAGGATGCATCTAACATGAGCAAAGCATGCTAGCCATGCTCTGATACCAAGATGATGTGAAACCAGGAATTGCTTCTTATAAAATTAATAGAAGTTCTATAGAGTATTGATAATACAATCTCAAGCTTTGCTAATTTGACGATTCAATGGAAATCTTAGAAGTTAACAACATCTAGGCAAGAAATTTCAACTAAGTTTACAAGTTCGATAAAATAACAACTTCAATAAAGTAATGGAAATGAATGGTCAACAAGAATCAGGCGGTTAACAAAGTGATTGTCTCACCTTGAGGCCACACTCATTCATCTACCTCTAGGTTCGTTGGGAGAAGAAGAAACATGCTAGTGACGAAACCACTCCGTAGGGAAGAAGAGGATGGCGCCGGACGGGGAGGTGGTGTGTAACGAGGCCCTTCGATGATCCAAGTGTAGATGGAGAAATGATCGTCTATGGACTCCACTAAAGCTGGTAGGATCCGGTCCAAATACTCTTCGACGGTGTCGTCGAAGTCAAAACCAACGCAAAAAAAAGGAGATCGGAGGATGTTCACTCGTCCACGGTTGTCGTATTAAAACCCGAAATTCCACTCGGGTTCCTCCATACATCATTGAGGTGGGATAGAGCGGCACTGCGACGGAATCTCAAAAGGAGGAGCTAGTGGTCGGCGGGCTGGAAGCAAGAGGGGAGGCCGGCGGTGGGGTTAGGATGAGGAGAGGAGTGAAATTTAGAAAACTGAATTTAATTTCAGTTTTAGGAGTTTAGGAGGGAAATAACACTAGAATTTGAATTTCCTAATTAATGCAATTAAGGCATTAATTGGAATCAATTACGGTTAAGCCCATGGGTGAGCCGGCGGTAGGGAGAGAAGGGAGAGGTTTGAAAACTGAAATTATTTTCAGTTTTTGTGAAAATAGGAGGGAGGATTATTTGCATTTAATTTGTGATTTCAAATCACAAAAGGGATTGAATGCAAACTTAATTGGGGGGCTTGATAGGGGGCCGGCGGCATGTATGGAGGGAGAGAGAGTTGGGGAGAGAGGGGGAAGAGTTTCCAAACTTAGGTGGATGATGTGGACAAGTATTTTGAAAACTCCAAATTAAAATAAATTGAAATTGAATCAATCATGCAAACTTTCCTAATTTGGAATTCCAAATTTGGAAAGAATTCAAAATTTGAATTCTAAATTTCAAATTCAACATGGGATGAGGGAGGGGAGTTGGCCGGAAGGGGAGGGGCAGCGGGAGGTGGTTGGTCGGGATGGTGGTGGTGGCCGGCGGCAAGATCCAAGGTGGGGGAGCCGGCGGCTAGGGTTTGGGGGAAGGGGATTTTGTGGAGCTTCTAATGAGAGAGAGATGGTGAACGAATAAACATAAAATAAACTAGAGAACTCACCAAGAGATCTCAAAGGAAGAACTCACTAAGAGATCTTGTTATGCACTCACAAAGAGAACAAAAGGGAGCAATTTTCATTTCATTCATCAATAATCCAAAATACAAAGACCAAGCCTTTATATAGGCTCAACAAGCATACGGCAATTAAAAGACTACAATGCTCTTGGGCAACAACAAACACTAATTCCCTCATAGGGGTACAAAAGAAAAAGACAAGAAATATAAATGACATGAATAAAATAAAACATCAAAAATAAAGACTCTGAATCATGGCCGTCGATCGGCGCCTCCGGCGATGGTACACATGCCGAAATCGGATGTCCCCATCACAGCTTTTCTTTGAAATTAATGTATAAGCTTCGACAAAAAAAGCTAAGCTGGTATTCGTAATACTTCTTTAACATATAAAAGTCTACCTAATCTACTTTGAGAAGAACAATGATAACTTCTAAGAGAAGCAATGGAACTGAACTACCAGATAAATGGAAAACACAAGGACTGACAACCAGAATACTACTTAAGAACCACAATAAAAATCTTTTATCAGTTCCAAGTTTGTATAAGATATGAAACCCCACATGATTGCACAGAAGTTTAGTTCAGATCATACAGGAAGGTACACTATTAGCTTATCATCCAACCCAAAACAGCATAAGAAAACTGCCTGTTTCTGTCCTCTAAGATGAAATCAAAGTTGAAACAGGCTGAACCTATGATATTCAAAGGTCATCAATATTCATTATATCCCTCTTCTTAGTTCCTAATGAAATTTCCTTCACTTAACTTGATGAAGGCTCCTTTGCTCTCTGTGTATAATCTACATAGATCGCATATAATATCATCTATTTTTTTGGATAAAGAATACTTTCTATTTTTTAGACAAAGTTGAAAATTGCCTGTTTTCAGACAGACAAATGACTACATCAAATAAAACTATTATATTAATCTCTAGGTATAAAGAAACTTTTTGAACCATGTTATGTGTGGAATCTAATTGTGTTGATCAATCTGATTCTTCTATTATCTCGGACCTTAAATCTTGTCTTGTACACTGGGGGTGCGGGGGTTTACCCCCTACTTGGGTTCGGGTGCAAAGTTGATGTGTACCTAAGCGTCCCGGTGCTACGTACCCGAGCACCCCAGCGTTGAACGACATAGAGCAGAGCATCGTAGTGAAAATATGGGGCCGCAGCTAGTCAATACAGAGAATGAGCGTCGCAATGTTGAGTGTTTGAGCGTTGTAACATTGTCAAACAGAGACTGGGCGCTGTAGTGCCCCAAACTGGCGATGTAGCGCTTCGAGGCAGATTGGATGGTTTTCTTTCTCATTTTCTAAAGGGTTGTGTCCTTTGGAGTTATTTTACTTGGCTTTCTCTTGTATTTTCAATTTGGGCAAGGAACAGTGTATGTGAGAAGATAAGCAATGAGAGAGTGAGAAATAAGAGAGATCTGTACTTATTTCTCTCAATTTTCATAGTGGATTTCTTGGTGTAGTGTGGCTCCATATTTTTTTTCCTTATTTTTGATTTTCCCATGTTAAATTCAGGTGTCCTTTACTTTTCGTTGCATTTACTTTATTGCTTGTTTCGTCGTTGTGGTGTTTACTCCTCCTCAATCTCCATCATCCCAACAAACCACTCAATGTGGATGAGATGAACCTCTCAACTCACACTTTCTGAGGTGGGAACAATACCACCTGACTTAATTTCCATTAGTAGCTTCTCAAAACCAATCCGCGCTTTGCTTGCTGCTTCAGTCTTTGCCTAAAAGAATCGTAGAAGTGCTAGTTATTTCTTTTTTTTTTTACTTCTTTCTGTGGTAGAATCATCTGCTTCATCAAGTTATATATTCCTTAAAAAAAATGAAAAGTTTGTTCAATATGTCAATCAGCATTTCTTAAACTTGATTAAGAAAGAAAGCCATGGATAATTAATCCAATCAATGAAGCAGATGGAAAGAAAATGTGAAGTGGTTGATGTTATAAAACAACATAAAAAGTTTTTTGCATGCTAGAAAAAAGATTAACATGAGTTCAAAAAGTTTAGAATGCCTTCTTGCCATCTCATCTGATAATTTGGCCAGCCATTCAAGCGTAAGACAGCCGATAGCTTTTTATGCACAGCTATTATGCTGCACTTTAAAAAGAAAAGAAATACACGGAGTAAATACAACAAACTGAAAATAGATTGAGGGCGTCAAGGAAGAGAGAAGCTGACACCATGCATAATTTTACCAAGTAATGTAGTATTCTCCGTGAAGCAAAGAGGATGCTCTCATCCGTAAAAGTATGAATGATAAGCACAATCCTATGTAAGCGGAAGGTGCGAACGCCTTAAAACTTGGATATGGATGTTGATTTTTATTCATGTAACATCAAATTCAAAAATAATACCAAAAAAGTAAGCTTTGCTACTATAAAGTACAAAATTGACAACGAGTTCATCCATCCAGAAGAATCCAATTTAAGCAAGCAAGTAGATGAAAGTTGGTGCTCCATTACTCAACTTTGAGCAGGTTGGATGCAATCAAGGCGTATCACTCATACTTTATGCAAGCAAAACCATATTAAATTATCATTCCCATTTTAACAACTACTTGCCCAATGGATATCTCGAGCAGGTAAGGCAGTAAGTTTGGAAAAGGTGGATGAAAGACAAAAAGGTACCAGAAAAGAAAAAAAAAAACAACAACAACAACATTATGATTTGCCATGGACCAATGCCTGACCGTGAGACAAGTTATACTTTTCTGGTCCGAGATGCAAATTCAGATCAAAAGTCCACATTCCTTGTCTTCAAAGCATAACACACAATTCCAGAGGAAGAAAACAAAAAAAAAAGGAAGTGCAGGTAAGAAGCAGACCTCTTGAAAGGCAGCAGATCTTCCACCTTGAACACTACCTACCAAAGCTTCAGGCGTATCCGCCGGCTCTGGTTTCAGATTGGCCTGTGCCAACTCCGCTAACTGGCTCGTGGCATCATCCTCCTCCTCGCCAAGCTGCAACAAGCGGCGGATCTCCGAAGAGAGGTCAGACGAGACCCGGCTGTTCCCCTGGACCAAAGTTATGAGATATATCAGACACAACATAAACTAAATAGCTATCGACGGAAAGAAACGGAATGATCACGGGTCCTCACGAGAAACGAAGTAGCAGGAGAGGCCTCATTGAGCTCGGCCTTCCATTCGCGCAGCATCTGATTGACCTGCTCCTCGAGCACAGCGACGTCACCGGCGCGGCTCTCTCTGCGAGCTGATTGGAGGTCCGAAAACATCCCTTGAAGGTCATCGACCCGGTTCTTTGCCTTATCCTTAAACATCTGGTGCGACGCCGACCTGCAACCCCTCCCCATTCTCTCACTTCCCTACTCCGATCGACTCGAAGAAGAGTAATCACGAGATTTAAGGGTTTTGGAAAGGGATTGGCTCAAACCCTAGAGGAGCAAGGAGTAAGGGATTGTTGGAGAAGACTTGGAGAATGGCGAAGGCATTTCCGCTCTTAGCTGCTGGGGAGTATTCTTATCTCGGCGCTTCGCTTGAACACGTTTCCTTTTTCATGGAAAAAGCGGAGAGAACCTTAAAAAGCCGATAACGTCGCAAAAAGCAGAGGGGGAATTTATGCTGCCAGAGCTAGTGATAACTTTGAGGCTCATTCTGTAAATTAAGTTTTTTTTTTTTTTAATGTGGAAATCTGTAAATTGTGTTCGATGAATTTTCCTTAAGACTGATTTTTTACTCATTTTTAAAATATCTTTCTAATTAGGGATGTTAAAATTGATGATTGGTCAGATTTAGATGTAATCTATGTATATGAGAGTAGACTGATCAATTTTCTTAAAAGAAAGATTTGTGATATAATGATGGATGTTAGTCTATAATTAATTGACTGATTACGCTGATGGATATTGAGTGACGACTCTCTATTGATTTATAAAAAATAATCAATTAACATAAATGATTAATAAAAAAAATTGAAATATGTGATTGAGAGATAATGATGGATTGATATGGAAGTTGATTGATAGATGAGAGAATGAAAATACCACCTAAAAGTTTGACGTCCTACCTTGTTGCATAAATTCATATAATACTTGATATAATTTCAAAAAATTATTTTGATCAGGCACGAATCTCAAAGCAAAATCAAGTTGAAAACTTCAAAAATTAAATCCAGAATCATTGATTTCAGCAAACTTATAGTCAAACTAAATGTCTCTGAAATACGAACCCAACGACACTACATTCTACTCCATCCGAGCCCAAATAAAAAATCAAAAACCGAAAGCACATTTAGAAGGTTCAAACCATAATATGGATTACCAAACAATTTCCAAATGTGACGTGTTTATAGTTGAATCGAGCGGCTCAACAAAACGAATCCAACGAGCCCAACACCGCTAAATTTTGATATCATTAAGACATTAAAATATCCATTGAATAGTCCATAATCAAGGGAATGAATATCGATCGTCCATTCAAATCACTCCCAACTTATTCTTAATCTTCCTCATATTTACTTGTCATGCCACTGTTAGGACATTATGAATAGACCCCTCATTTCTCATGAGAGGGGACCCTAAGCAAGAAGCAAAAAGAGAAGGAATATAATGAAAAAGAGAAACTTGAGTTCTCTTACCACCAGACTCCTTGACCACCACCGGACTTCCACTTGGTAGTCGACCGACGTCGGAATTTTGTCCTTAGCTGGCCTTTCATTGAACTTCTATCTGACACCGAACTTTCACCCTTCTCAGGATTTATACCCATCTCCAAATTTTCATCGGACTTCTACACAACGCCAGACTTCTACCCATCGACGAATTTTTATGTGTCGTCAAACTTCTACCCGTCACTGAACTTTCGTCGCACTTCTATATGATGTCGGACTTCCATCCATTATTGAACTTCGGCCTAACTTCAGACTTCCGACCTCCATCGCTAGTCGACTACAATCCATCCGACCTCCTTCACCAGACAACAGTCTTTCTAACCATTGTCGCCCACCGACTACAGTCATTTCTATCTCCATAGAAAGATTGCGGTCCTTCCAGCCTCTATCGCCAGATAATGATCTTTTCTGATCACTGCCGCCCGCCAATTTGGCCCCTCCGACTCGTCGACTATGGTCCATCCGACCACCATCACCAGACTACGATCTTTCTAACATTTATCGCTCATCGACTATTATTTTATCGAGAAAAAAAAATATCAATAGTGATTCTTTCAAGTCCTATGAGGTAATGCATTTTGTATGATGTATATTATTACATCAAGCCAAGGCCTTCCCCCAAAGAAAGACCTTATTTGTAATCGATTGAAAATAATAGTAGATTCATTCAAACTGGGCAAGGCCCCATATTTTTTCCCCTTTTCAGGTTTTCCATATAAAAATCTTTGTGTCTCTTATGAATACTACACACTCTCTCTCTTATATAATTGTGTATTGGATCTTCATATAAAGCTAAGACGTTAAACTATATACTTCTCTACCGCCGTGAATATTCTAGGACACAAAATACTAATGTTTATATTGACATGCATATTATTGATGGAAGTTTGAAAAAGAGTTTTTGAAGGCTTAATCTTATTTGAGAAATTTGATTTTAAATTTATAGTCTCAAAATTGAATACCTCATTATAAACAATATATTGCCTATTAATGCAAAGATATGGTTTGCTAACGAGTTCAGATGATGAAACCGAAAGGTGTCATCTCGATTATAGTGTTAACTTCATATTTTGAGGTATTCAAATAATAATCACATACGAACTCGAAGGGCGAAATGAGATTCTATTAGTATTCAACCACTATAATCCATATGAAAGATTATTAACTTCATATTTCATATCACAATAGTGAATAATATATCTCTCCAAGGAGAGAAAATATCACTTATTATCAATCAATGGAATATGAAGATAATGATTGTTGTCGACTTCATTTTCCCAAAGAAGATTAATTTTGAATTTTGAAATTTGATTTTAAAAGAGGTGGATGTATATTATAAATCTCCTACGAGCGTAAGCCATCGTATTTAATTACATCGTGGGAAACTGATGTAGACAAACAAGAAAAAACTGACACAATGGATAGAACTTAAAAAAACTTTATTAAAATAAAAGTAGACAACTAAAACTTGACAAACACAACAAGAAATACTAGGAGATTTTAAAGAAATAAAAAAAAAAAACGCTATCCTCAGACAACCGTCAAGGCGGGTTCCTCACATGCATCGAATAGTAGATTAAATAAAGATGTGCATAAGACTAGCAAACCGATGGTCCACCACTGCAAGAATGTCCCAAATGCTTCCAAGTCAACTAAGACACGACACCCTAAAGTTGCTTCACTGTTTGAGAAGAAGGATATAGATGGAGTGGCACTTGCGGA